ATTCATTAGAGCTGTCCCAAAAATGAGTTACCTGAGAGGATGGCTCTGCAGGAGCCGGGGAGAGGGGGGAGAGTTGGATCCAGAGCATGGAGAAGTGATACCTGGAGAAGTCAGCCTGAAGGGCCGAGAGCGGAATGCTAAGGGAGAAGGCACATTTAGGAAGTTGCCTTTTAATTCCTTCGACCTATAATGAAACTTGTAATTTTAATATTATTTTTAAACCAAATAAACTGTTTTCAGTGGACGTGAAGGACAGAGTAATAAAGACAAAAACCCATCTCACCACATTGAGTAGGCTAGCTGCCAAAACAGAAATTGATTAATCTAAGTATTTTATTTAAATAAAACCATGTAACGGCCATTACAATTATTTGAAATATAATGATCACCTGAAAGATGTTACAGCAAACAGAAATTGATTAATCTAAGTATTTTATTTAAATAAAACCATGTAACGGCCATTACAATTATTTGAAATATAATGATCACCTGAAAGGATGTTACAGCATCACAATGTTTATAGAAGAGAATGCAGAAAGGTGCACATTTGAAAATGATTATAACATTGTAAAATCAACCTACATTAAGTACCATAAAAGTAAGTAAAGTCAAATAATGCAACCTTATTTTACACAAGATTGAAGAGGAAGGGGAATATTACAGCGTTTTTGTAACACTTTTATATAACATATAAATTTTTACCTACTAGGTTTAGAGTTTGTATAAAATGATTGTGCCCTAATCCCACCCTAGGTCATTAGATCAAGACACTAAAACTGAGAATGATTCCTTCCTCATTTTACAGTTTTATTCTTGATATTCCTTTAAAAAGACCAAGCCCTGGCAGGCGTTGCTCAATGATTAGAGCACTGGCCTGCACACACAGGGGCGCTGGTTTGATTCCCAGTCAAGGGCACCTACCTGGGTTGGAAGTCCAATCCCTGCCCCCAGTTGGGGGAGTGCAGGAGGCAACCAATCGCCTCTCCCTTCCTCCCCCTTCCCTACCACTCTCTAGACTCAATGGAAAAAATATCCTTACTCCTCAGGTGAAGATTAAAAATAAAAAGAGACCAAAATGATTGGGGAGCTCATACCTAAAGAGTAATTAGAAAGTACCATAGTCACATAACAAGACCCCAAAAAGAAATATAACTACAGTTGCTTTACCTTCCAACTTCTGAAGTTAATGTACAACACATTACGACGAAGGATAGCTGTGCATTCACTAGTTCATTTTACCAGTCTCTCAAAATTTTAGGAATGAGCACATCCAAGTACATGGATACTTCCTTATATTACAAAGTAAAAGCAAGCATTTTCTATTTTAAAATTCCTATTTTATTTCTGTGTAAAAGACGAACTGAAGGTCAAACAAGGAAAAGATATACCAAGTTCAAAGTACTATTAAGTCATGAAACGAAGAGTCTGAGGTAGAAGTCAAGTAATATCCCCAACTTTTTTAGGGAAGTGTTTATTCCCAGCAACCATCACGTCTCTCCAGAAAGATCTTATTTTATTAAAAATGTCTCAAGTTCCAAAAAATTAATTCATTTTCTAAAATCAGATGCAAATGATGACCAACAGAAAATACACGCAAATGTTTGTCTTGTTAACAAAGGAAACAGTTTTACTAAAAGCTGCGGACATTTCTATCAGTAATAGCCATAGGGAGGCCGTTGGTTGTAACCGTAGTTTCCATACTGGTGAGGGTGGTAAGGTTCTTGTCTGTGCTGCTGGTAATTGTTACCCCAGGGTCGTCCATGCCATTGATTGGATCGATTGTCGCTTGGCCACCCCCGTCTGCCGTCCCTGCCTCTAAACTGTCTGTTATCTTGCAACCTACAACAACAACAACAAAATTATACTTGTCTTTTAAGAAAACACATGACAAATCTGTCCTGTTGCATTTGACTTCTCAATTGAATACTTAATAAACAAAAGAATAAAATACATTTTTCTCTATAGGATGTTATAGCACCAGTTATTAGAAACATTCTTAAGATTTAAATCGTTCTCCTAGTTACATTGGACATGTTTTGCAGAGAAACAGGCAGACTACAACAGGCTAGTTTTCAATCAAACTAAAAACTATTCAATTGTTTAAAAAACACAGTATGGTAATTTATTCCTTTTATCTATTTTGAATTATTAAATAGAAGTAACTTCCACTGTATAAACTTTCTAAAATGAAACCAGAAACATTACCTTTTCATGGAATTGTATACAAAGTTTTGTATAAGACTCTAGGTTTCTAAAGTGTATTTGCATATAAAATATTAGTCCACAGAAGGAATGTTTTAAAAAAACAACATTAACACACATAGGGACACACAATTGAACAATAAGGAAAAAATACATGGGCTGATAAAATATTAAAGCAAATATTTACCAGCCACTTAATTAGTGCCAGGCACTAGGTATATCATACTGAACAAAAACATTGGTCTGCTCAGCCAGCATGGTTCAGCGGTTGAGGGTTGACCTATGAACCAAGAGGTCACAGTTCAATTTCAGGTCAGGGCATGTGCCCCGGTTGCGGGCTCCATCCCTAGTGTGGGGCTTGCAGGAGGCAGCCGATCAATGTGATTTTGTTTCTATCGTTGATATTTCTCTCTGTCTCCCTCCCTCTCTGAAATCAAAGTATATATATTAAAAACAAACAAACAAAAAACAACCACTGGTCCCTGCCCTCAGTGGTCTTCTGGACTCGCAGATTAAAGCTATTCTCTTCCGGATCAGCCATCTGCAATTCATTCTTCTGAGGTAGTACATACCAGTTGCCTCTATTTCTTTGGCTCCCACCAGCTCTGCTATTCCAGTCCTCGACAATTGGAGGGGTCGCAGGAGGGCGTTTCAGATACTCCTGGTATTCTTTGTCATCGTTTGTGAATCTACTGGCAAACATCTCTTCAAAATTTGGAACAGCTTCAGGAGTATCAGTCATTCTGAAATTCTGTACAGTTTTTAATATGTTTCTATTAGAATTTTCTTAAAAAAATTAACACTATGTTACCAGTGGAAAAACCAAGAAGTAAACAATTTCAGACAGGGTATTCTAGACATTCAATTGAGTATTTCTTGATTATTATAATACAGGTACTGTGCTAACCAGAATCGTGGGATACAAAGATGAACAATATATCATGGAGTCTGCCCACAAAGGGCTCTTAGTCTAGTAGAAGAAACAGATATGTTGTAAATATAAAGGGAGAAGTGAATACAAAGAGATGAAATTGGAAAAGTAGACAGTGGTCAAATTGTGAAAAACTTCGTATTCCAGACAACTTTGCACTTTCTCTGGTAGCAATGTGGAATCATAGGTAGTTTAAGCAGGGAAGTCTCAAGAGCAAATTTACTATTTAGAAAGATCACTTTTCTAAGAGGGTAGAGATAGACTAGCGAGATTAGACTAAACACAGATCACTGCAATAATGCAGGAAACATGCTGAGGGCTTAATCTGAGGCAGGGGCTGTGAGAGTAGTTTTAAAAGAATTTCAGGAGGCATTAATCACTGACTAGATATTGGGAGGAGAAGAGGAAATAAAGGATAACTCCCATGCTCTGGCTAAATGATTGGATAGGTTATGGTGCCATAGGAACTACAGAAAGAAGGATGGGTGAAGATATACACTTGAAGTTAGCTAAAGCACATACATCCTGCCCTAGCTGGTTTGGCTCAATAGATAGAGTGTTGGCTGTGGACTGAAGGGTCCTGGTTTTGATTCTGGTCATGCCCAAATTGCAGGCTCGATGCCCAGTAATGGGCCTGCAGGAGGCAGCTGATCAATGATTCTCTCGCGCTCCCTCTCCCTTCCTCTCTGAAATAATGAGGGAAAAAAAAGTACATACATCCACTTGGGAGAGTAAGTTCAAAGTTAACTATTTGGGACTGAGAACTAGTTTGAAGATGAATATGGGGACAACAGCAAATTTGTTGGCGATTAATGCTGTGAGAATGAATGGATTCCTCAGAAGTAGGAATAAGAAGAATACCAAAGAACAGAATCCTGGAGAACATCACAGTAGAAGATAAAGAAGGGACAGGAGAACATCCTATATAATAAAAGGGCGATATGCAAATTGACCCTAACAGCAGAACTACTGGGAATGACTGGTCACTATGACACACACTGACCACCAGGGGGCAGACACTCAGTGCAGGAGCTGCCCCCTGGTGGTCAGTGTGCTCCCACAGGGGAA